GCTAGTTGTATTAATCCCAGAGCCTCCATAGGTTGAGGCTCTTAGCAATTTAGGAGACCATCTCAGAAAATCAAAAGGGCTAGGGATGTCACTCAGTGGTAAGCAACCCTGGAGTGTTTAGTACCCCAGTACCAAAAAAAAAAAAAACTGTTGTCAAACTGATTAGTAGGGAGCAACAGAATATCTGGCCACTGAAAAACCAACTGAGCAAATAGAAATGTTTTAAATTGGAAACTTCCTGCTCTAATTCCCAAACCAATTGTATATGGTGGGTTTTTTTTGTTTTGTTTTTGTCATACTGGGGATTAAACCTAGGGGTGCTCTACCATTGAGCTAGATCCCTAACTTTTCAAATTTTTTGACACAGTCTAAGTTGCTAAGGCTCACCCCTAATTTGCGATCATACTGCCTCAGCGTCAGCCTCCTGAGTTGCTGGGATTACAAGTGTGCGCAACCACACCCAACACTAATATAATTTTTAAATCATCCCCACTTACTTGCAAAAACATCACTGCTATAATTTATTACTTTTCTATTGCTGGCTAATATGATCAAATTACAGGCAACTGTTCAAAAATTAAAGATCTCTTCCAATATTAATAGGTCCACATGTACTAAATTTCACTAATTTCTAACCTTTTCCTTAAAGTTTTAACCATTAATAACACTTTTTCTTGGGGCTGAGGTTGTGGCTCAGTGGTAGAGTCCTCGCCTAATACGTGTGAGGCGCTGGGTTCAATCCTCAAGGCCACAAAAAATAAATAAATAAATAAAATAAAGGTACTGTGTCGAACTACAACTAAAAAAAAATTAACAATTTTTATTATCTTATGTAGTTGTTTGAACAATAAAAACTATTTTTGTACTTTTTATGATATCCTTACAAAAGAGGAAGGCAGCAAGGGTTGATGGTAATTTGATGATGGTGCCATAGGTAGACTGCTTCCCTCAAATGAACTAGGCCCAGGGTTCAATCCCCAGCACCAAAATCAAAAAAAAAGAAACAACAACAAAAAAGTTAATGGATATAATGAATGACTTTTCTAAGGTGAACTGACTGAAAAAAAATCTGTCAATATTTTGCTACCAGTTTTCACTTTATAAAAATCAGAAAATGTTGGTAAAAATTTACCTTTATTATCACCTAATTTTTAATTATTTTTTACGTAGAATAAATATATGTAAGCATTCAGAATGATATTGATCATCTCCCTATTCTAGTCAGCAGATGACTAGAGCAAATGAAAACAAAAACCCAGCTGCTTTTTTAAATAAAAATTTAACAGGCAACTAAATGTGAAAACTGTTCACAAAGGTGTTTTCCATGCTTAGATAGTAATGAATACTTTATTCTTAGTTGAGCTGATGGAATTGAGCCATAATGACATTTGTGACTAGAAGGGAAGATGGAAATGATTCCATTAACCTAGAGTGCGATACCATATGGTAATCATAGGTGGTAGAAGAGTTGTGTTGGACAAGGGTAGAAGTAAGCCATGTGGCACAGACATTATCAATTACCACACATGGTAACCATGCTGACATAATGTATCCTTTCCAGAAAGGAAATGATTTGGGCATATGAAGTGGTTTGCAGCCTTGTGAAGGAGTAATCTATAAATGACATATCTGGCACCAATACAGCACACAAGGTTTCCAATAATTCTGCAAGATGAGGATTAAGATTTGATGAAACTCAACTGGTCATAATAGTGCATACCTGAAATCCTAGCAACTCAGGAGGCTAAAGAAGGAGGAACCCAAGTTTGAGGCCTGCCCTGGTAACTTGGCAAAACTGTCTCAAAATAAAATAGGGTTGCTCAGTGGCAAAGCACCCCTGGGTTCAATCCCTTGTACCCTCAACCAAAAAAAAAATTGATGAATCTCTATACCAAATAACAATACATCAGTTATTTGCACAAAGGCAGCAAATTAAAATATGTATGCAAAACACTTGGGTCTTTCACACGTAAAATTTTTTCTCAAATATTTAAAATTGTTATATAAAAATTCTGGAATTTCTTAATTTCTGGAAATACAGGCCAATAATGTTAAGACTATATGATATAAAGTCTATGGGCAAACATTCAAAATTATATTTAGGGAGACAGAATTATAATTATTGTTTCAGGGTACTGAATTGGAAAGAAACAAAGACTAAAAGAAAAAAACTGTTTTAAGAAAATTTAAGCCAGGCATGGTAGCACATGGCTGTAATCCCAGCACTTCAGGAGGCTGAGGCAAGAGGATTGTAAGTTCAAGACTACTCTCAGGGAGCTGTAAAAAATAAATATATAAATAAGCAAATATTCTTTCAGATGAGTGCAGGATGAATTGAATAAGAGATTAAAGGCTGAAATCAGTTGGGCAATGGAACATAATGATAGTACAGGAAAGAATGGTATCTGTGGGAATAAAGATCTGAAATTCTCAGAAGGCACCTGAAGATACAATTTGGTAAGATCCAGCAGAGAGGCTCTCAGGTGGCTATGCCAGTTACCTACTGGTACAAGACAAACTATCCCAAATCTGAGTAGCTACAAAACTATACTATGTTTCATAACCCTGTAGGTTGACTGGGCTCAACTAGGTGATTCTCACATGCAGGTCTCAGGAAGTTACAGTCAGATAGTAGTTGGGATAGAGTATCTGGAGCCTCAACTGGGCATGATGTCCAAGATGACTTACTCCCATTATACATTTTTCATTAAAAAAACAGTGAGTAAACAATGATTAACATGTAAGTATTTTTTCAAGATATTAATTTGATTGTGTTGCTAAACTGGCAGTTGATACTAGCGGATGGCCAAGAGCTCAGTGAGGATTGTCAACTGTAATGTCTACACATAATATCTCCAACATGATGGCTTGGGGTAGCCACATTTATTATATGGTGGCTTGGGCTTCAAAAGTGAGTGTTCCCATCAATAAGACATAAGATACATAGCTTTTTATGACCTAGTATCATAAATCAATATCATTACTTTTATGTTACTCTACTAGTCAAAACAGTAACTGGGCCTCTTTTAAATTCAAGAGAACATAATATACTCCATCTCCTGATGGCAGGAGTGCTAAAGAACTACCAAACTTTTACATTAATGAATTTATGACAAAGTTCAGCAAGTTGGACTTGGAGGCTCAGAAACATGTGTGGATATTAACTATTATAATACATAAAATCAATACATAAAAACCACAATGACAGCTATGAATTTACAGTGAGAACTGTTAATTCAAAGGAGACCAGACATTTGCACTGATCTGCCTTTAACTGGGAAATCCAATTATTAACCAGTTGATAATTTACATGGAATAACACTTGGTTACGATTAAATATTTAATGGCATCAAGTCAGGATAGTTTTTATACAACTAAAAAAATGTAAAATCACAATATGAGATGTCATTTAAAAACTAGCAAGCTGGCAAAAAAACCCAAAATAATGTCTTATCAAGAGTGAGGCCACTCTGGGGCTGGGGCTGGGGCTCAGTGGCAGAGCGCTTACCTAGCATGTATGAGACACTGGTTTCAATCCTTAGCACTATGTACAAAAATAAGCAAATAAAATAAAGGCATGATGTCCATCTACAACTACAAGAAAAAAAAAAAAGTGAGGCCACTCTCAAAAATCACTGATGGAAGTATAAACTGGCAATGTCTCAGGAGGACAATTTGGTAACATCTGTCAAAATTTTAAATGCATATACATTCTGAACAATTCCTTATGTCTTTATTTAAAAAATGAATCTCAAGGGCTGGGGATGTGGCTCAAGCGATAGCGCACTCGCCTGGCATGCGTGCGGCCCGGGTTCGATCCTCAGCACCACGTACAAAGATGTTGTGTCCGCTGAAAACTTAAAAAAAAAAATATAAAAAAAATTCTCTCTCTCTCTCTCTCTCTAAAAAAAAAATGAATCTCAATATCCAACCTCATAAAAGTGATGAAATAATAGTAATCATTCAATAAAATGCCATTCAGTGATATTTTAATTGAGAAAATTCTACAATTGCTGATACAAAAAAGAAAAGTGCAGAATAGTGTGTATGTTATTTAAGATGTGAGTGTTAAATTAAAAATAGAACTGGGTGTGATGTTGCATACCTATAATCAAAACAGCTCAGGAGGGCTGGGGATGTGGCTCAAGTGGTAGCGCACTCGCCTGGCATGCGTGCGGCCGGGGTTCGATGCTCAGCACCATATACAAACAAAGATGTTGTGTCCGCCGAAAACTAAAAAAAAAATATTAAAAAAATTCTCTCTCTCTCTCTTTAAAAAAAAACAAAACAGCTCAGGAGGCTGAGGCAGGAGGATGGCAAGTTCAAGGCCAGCCTCAGTAACTTAGTGAGACGCTGTTTCAAAATGAAAAATAAGGGCTGGGGGTTGAAGTTCAATGGGAGAGTACTTGCCTAGCATGTGTGAGGCACTAGGTTCAATTCTCAGCACCACATATAAATAAAATAAAAGTCCAGGGGCTGGAGTTGTGGCTCAGCAGTACAGCGCTCGCCTAGCACATGCGACACCCTGGGGTTCAATCCTTAGCACCACTTTAATTAAAAATTAAAAATAAATAAAATTAAAAATAAATAAAAAAATAAAGGTATTGCATACAACTAAAAAGTAAGTATTTTAAAAATATAAATAAATAAAAAAGGTCCAATGACAACTTTAAAAAAAAATGAAAAAAAGGGCTGGGGATATGGCTCAAGTGGTTAAGGGCTCTGGGGTTCAATCAGTACCAAAAGAACTGGTAGACTTTCTATCATTAGATCAGTTGTGTATGTAATCGATTAGCTTTTCTCTGAGCCTTGATTGACAAGACTTCTTGATACGAATTTTCTTTATATTATATGGCTATTGGCCTTTGTCTTTTATCTTGTAGTTTTTAATTTTGAAAATAGGTTAGAATAATACAATTTCTGTGAGTTCCCAAACCCTTCTGAGGGAACCCAAGTTTTATATCCTCACAGAATAAGTAAAACATAAAATCACAGAGTAATGGTGTGTTTAAAAACTCACATTTTACTACACATAATGAGAATCAAATGGATAGTTGAATCACAGAAGGGCGTATGTCAATGGTGAACAAAATTGGAAAAGAGGCAAAGGAATATACTGTGGTCAAAAATACATGAAATCTTGTCAGCATATTTTATGCCAAAATCAGTTCTGAGGGAGCAAAATGTTCTGTAAATTTTAACAGTAACAGTAAATTTAGGCACTGATGTTAACTAAAAATACATATTATGAACAGCCAGCCTCTCTTCTGCAACTGTTTTTTTTTTAAACAACAGAATATTTCAACTTTGCATCTCAAAACTGAAATTCAATGTCTTACAATGGGAACCTAAGTATAAAAATGTATTTATACTGGACTCTTTTCAATATTTTCAGTATTGATCATTTAAAGTAAATATTTAATAATACCTCTACAGAAATAGAAACCACAAAATTTAGACCAATGAAATTAAGCAATCACTTAGTACTAGCTTGCTTATAAATAAGATAAAGACATGACAAAATAAAGATGCCAAAATTGACATGACTTGTTAATGTCTCAACTGGAATTAGAATGCAAGTCTTGTAAATCTATTCTTATGATCTTTCTGTCACATTATACTATAATTTTATCATTAAGATGCAAATATTTTAGTAAAAACACTACTAAGAAAAATAAAAAAACAATAACTAAAGGGAAAATAAAAACTAATTACAGAATGAAAATGAATTATGATTAAATTAAATATTCCAAAGCTAAATCAGCTACCTACCCTAAACCTGGTTAGCAATGAAAGTCCATAAGTTTCAGAAAACAAAAAAGGTATTATTTTATAAAAACTTATAAACTACTAAAACACTTTAGAAATAATCCAAATGTCTAGCAACAGATGGATAAAATATAGTGTATACATAAAATAGAATACTATTTAACCATAAATAGGAATGCCACAATATGGACGAAGCTTAAAATCATGCAGAATGAAATAGACTGGAGACAAAAGAAAAATTATTATATGATTCCACTTAAATGAAGTATTTGAATTTAGCAAATTCATAAAAACATAAAATGATTACCAGGAACTGGAGGAAAGAAGAATGAAGAATTATTACCTAATAGGTTCAGTTTCTGTTTAGGGGCGATGAAAAGTTTTGGAAATACTGGTGATGGTTGCATTACACCAAGAACATAACTAATGCAAATTAGGTGTACATTTAAAAAATAAAATAAAGATATTGTGTCCACCTATAACTAAAAAATAAATATTAAAAAAGTAGAAATCTTATTTGAAATATTCAATAAGTAGTAGTTAAATGTGTTAAGCATTGATGGATAGATGTAAAGAAGAAAGGAAAAAAGCAGATAGGACAAACTATCACATCTATCTTATAAAAGTGTTAAAACAATGAATGATGTAAAAGTGCTCCATAAATAATAAAGCACTACATAGTGAGCTGGAGTTGTGGCTCAGTGGTAGAGTACTTGCCTAGCATGTGAGAGGCCCTGGGTTTGATTTTCAGCACCACATATACATAAGTGAATAAAATAAAGGTCCATCAACACCTAAAAACAAATATTAAAAAGTAATAATAACAAAGCACTGTATAAACATATCCCCACCACACACACACACACACACACACACACGCACACAAGCACATTTGAAAAAACTTAAATTTATGATGAAAGATGTTGGTGGGATAATTTCTGTTTTATCCAGCAACATAGATCTCTATCTGCATTTGAAATGTTAAGCTCTGTCCTAAACAAAACAAAACCCTGAATTAGATTATGTGAATCTTTTTAATTAATTTTTTTTGTAATTGTAGATGGACAGAATGCCTTTATTTTATTTATTTTTATGTGGTACTAAGAATTAAGCCCAGTGCCTCACACATGCTAGGCAAGTGCTCTGTTACTGAGCTCCAGCCCCAGCCCTATGTGAGCCTTTAACCTCTATATTTTATTATATACTATACCTTTAATAACTTACTTGGAATCAAACTGATTTTCCAAGTATATAAGTGTAGAAAGGGTTTCTCAAAGAGCAAAATTTAGAGTATTTATTCTTTCCAGAATGAATAATTTTTAAAAAAATGTTTTTTAGTTGTAGATGAACACAATACCTTCATTTTATTTCCTGATTTTTATGTGGTGCTGAGGATCGAACCCAGTGCCTCACATATGCTAGGCAAGCATTCTACCACTGAGCCACAACCTCAAACCCAGAATGAATAATTTTTAAAGTAAACTGTATTAAACAGCCTGTGTTGTATTAACTATAGCCAAGGAATGATAATATACTAAACTGATATTTTAAAAAAGAACAATGAAAATGTTTTCTATGTATGTGTGCAAATGTATTTATGTTAGCTTTCCATCACTATAACAAACTCCTGAGATAAGCGACTTATTAAAAAAAAAAAAAGTTTGTTTTGGCACACAGTTTCGGAGGTTCTAGTCCATGATCAGGAGGACCCATTTATTTTAGGTCTCCAATGGGGGTGCTGGATGGCAATGGCAAGAGCAAAACTGGCAGAGCAAAACTGCACAGCTCATAGTCAGGAAACAAAAGAGAAAAAAAAGGAGAAACTGGGGTCCCAAATCCTTTTGGGGCATCCCTTCAATAACATAAAGATCTCTTACTATGGCAGGTACAGTGGCATACACGTATAATCCCAGTGGCTCAAGAGGCTAAAGCAGGAGGACTTCAAGTTCAAAGCCAGCCTTAGCAACTTAGTGAGGACCTGAACAACTTAATGAAAACTTGTCTCAAAAATATAAAAGGCCAGGGCTGGGGTTGTGGCTCAAGTGGTAGAGTGCTTGCCTAGCATGTGTGAGGCACTGGGTTCGATCCTCAGCACCACATAAAAATAAAATAAAGATATTGTATCCACCTAAATCTAAAAAATATATTTAAAAAAATTATATATGTGGCTCTGGGTTCAATCCCTGATATTTAAAAAAAAAAAAAAAGAAATCTCTCACTAGGCCCCACCTCTTAGTTTCTACTACCTCACAATAACACTTACCCCCATGAACCTTTATATTTATGTATGTTTAAAAAAAAAATCACCAGAAAGGATGATCATAGCAATGGCATGAAATTGAGTAAGGCAATATACATCTTTTCAATTTACCTTACTAACTACAAGATAAAGCCTGCATGAAGCACTGGTCTGCCAGAAAGTAAGACTTCTAAACTTCTAAGCTCATAAACTGGGGACAATAGGTATAATATCACATCATTATGAATTAAAACCAAGTAACAGAAAATGCTAGGGGAAAAGTTTACAAACTGAAGAAGAAATAATAATCTTTGAAAAATTAAGCTTTAAAGAAATAAGGAGGCCCGGTGTGACAGTGCATGCCTGTAATACCAGCAACTCGCTGAGGTAGGAGGATCAATGGCACACACCTGTAATCCCAGAGGTTCAGGAGGCTGAGACAGGAAGATTGTGAGTTCAAAGCCAGCCTCAGCAAATTATCAAGGCCATGTCTCTAAATAAAATACAAAAAAAGGGCTAGGGATATGGCTCAGTGGTTAAATGCCCCCGAGTAATCCCCAGTACCAAAAAAAAAGTTTGAGGCCAGCTTCAGCAATTTAGTGAGACCCTAAGCAACTCAGAAAGACCCTGTCTTCAAATAAAAAACAAAAAGGTCTGGGGAAGTAGCTCAATGGTAAAGCACTACAGGTTTAATCCTCAGTACCAAAACAAAACAAAAAACAAGAGCTAAGGAAGCTGCACCATGGCTCAGTGGTAGAGCACTTGCCTAGCATGGGCAAGGGCATGGGTTTGACTCCCAACATTCAAAAGAAAAAAATATTTCTTTCTTTCTATATAGGAAACAAAGTAAATTTTGTAAATGTATTCAGAAATATTAAGAATCAAGTACCAGACATTTTTATATGATTTGGAAAACACTCAAAAATCCAAAATTTTAATTTATTCAAGCAGGGTTAAGATTATTCAAAGAAAAATGTCAATACATCTATAATTCTAGAATGAATAACATCATGCTTCAAAATGTAAAAATAAATAATTGCAGGCTTATAACCTTACTCTAAAATGTTTTAAACAATTTCTAGATAACTGCATCAAAATCTTTCTTGTAACATTTTAAAATAACAAAAATTAAACAAATGGCTTAGATTTTAGAACTGAATTCATTAAATTCAATTTGATCATCTAAAATTTGCATCCTACCCATAAAACTGAACAGGATATGCTGACTCATGGTTTTTACTTTACAGTCAAAAAAAAAAAACCAGGTTATTTTAAAGAATTATTAAAACTTCATTTAAAGAGAACAAGTAAGAGGGCTAGGGCTCAGTGGTAGCGTAATTGCTTGGCATGTGTGGAGCACAGGGTTCAATTCTCAGCACCATATATAAATAAATAAAATAAAAGTCTATCAAAAACTAAAAAAAAATTGAAAAAAAAAGAGAACAAATAATATTTTAAAAATCCTTTATTCCTATGATTTTCCTAAGCAATTGGGAAAAAAAATTTACTAGTCTGAACAGTAAATTCAGATCGGCCACACGCGAGTAGCTTTCCACAGTTGGAAAATGAAATACCTATGTTACCTCTTACTGAATGCTACTGAAAATGAAACCAAAGCAAAATGTAATTGTAGAACACTGCTTTAGAAAACATTTTTCAGAGAATCACATCCCTTAAATACTTTTCCCATTTACTTCATATAATCCTGATTCATTCATGTTATTGTGTTTATACTTTAAAGTAATGAGTATACTACTTATAAACAATGAATTTCACATCAATATATTTGTATATTGTAGATTTGTTTTGGGGTTACTGTTCTTCCTCTGGTTCTCGTGACCTTTTCCGGGTACTCGATGAACCTTCTGTGGCAACAGCATCTCTAAATCCCTGAGGCTGAAAAATGAAAAAATATACAAACATGTTTTAAGAACATTTAAAATAAAGACTGGTAGACAAATATTTTTAAGTATGATAGCTACTTTTTTCTTGAGATAGAATTTATTAACCATTGTGAATGAAGAGTTATGATAAGCCTTGTGGCTGGTCCAAGCCAGGATTATATTGAATACTTATTTACCACAAATACAGAAAAAACACTACATTATAAAAATATCTTCTAGGCCAGGCACAGCGGAACACTCCTGTAATCCCAGCAGCTTGGGAGGCCAAGACAGAAGGATTGCAAGTTCAAAATCAGCCTCAGCAACTTAGCGAGGCTCTAGCAACTTAGTGACATCCCATCTCTAAATAAAATATTAAAAGGGGCTAGTGATGAGGCTCAGTGGTTAAGTGCCCCTGGGTTCAATACCCAGTACTTAAATTAAAAAAAAAAAAAAAGTTTTTTAGGACTGTAAGTATATGTAGCTCAGTGGTGAGGCTCCCAAGCACCCTAAAAACAAAAACAAAAGTTCTCTAAAGAACAATCAGAAGTTCTCTAAAGAACAATCCTCAGAAACTTTATGGTAGCTATGTTGGAAAACATGAAATAGTTTGTACTAATTCTTAGGTACTTTACAAATTTATTTTCACAATTAAATACTTCTAAAATAAAAAGTTTTCCAAATAGGCTTTTTCAAATGCACCTGGGTAGTGCAAAAATTAAATGGTTAATTCAGCTGCAGAATCTCCATTTCTGTTTTTGTCCTTATAAAAATGAGATGCCAAGATATACTTGGGCTCAGCAATGTTGATAAATATGCATATTTCAGCCAAATATGTATGTTCTATGATGTTAATTCACAAGAAAATTAACATTTTAAAGTGTACTATATTTGGTGGCTATGATAGATCTATAATATCTACAGACCAAAAAAAAGGTAATGTTGGTATTTTTTCTTTTCTGAAAATCTCCAACAACTTTCACTTTAAAAATCTTTAATATACTGACATTACATATGCCATGGAACATACTACCCCAAAATAAGTATTTCCTCTGTTCTTAAGAATAAATTTTAGTCCAATTATGACTACAATATTCTGTATATACAACTATTTGGGGGATGTTCTAAACATCAAAAGCTGTCCTCAAATATGTTTGCTGCCTACAGAAGCTAACAAAAGCAATCTGTAAATGATCTCTTCAGATAATTACTGCCCACCACACCAAAATCCCACTAATCAAAAAATACTGACTGTGATCTGAAACAGTACTGTGGATTCCTTTTGGCTTGGTGATTTGTACAATGTTGCCAACCTGCTTAGAGAAAAAGCATACAAATATATAACTTTAATTAATTACTTCATATGACTGATTTCATAATTTATGCTAGTTTACTGTAATTCAAATATTTGGTTCTTAAGACACAGAAGAGAGGGGCTGAGGATGTGGCTCAAGCGGTAGCGCGCTAGTCTGGCATGCGTGCGGCCCGGGTTCGATCCTCAGCACCACATACAAACAAAGATGTTGTGTCCGCCGAAAAGCTAAAAAATAAATATTAAAAAAAAATTCTCTCTCTCTCTCCACTCTCTCTTTAAAAAAAAAAAAAAGACACAGAAGGGAAAGAAACATAAAAAATATTCTCCTGCTAGAGGAAGTGGCACATACTTGAGTCCCAGTTATCTGGGAGGCACAGGGAGGAGAATAATTTGACCCCAGGAATTCAAGGCCACCTCCTAAAATATTTTAAAAACTCCCCTCTAAAATTACCTATACTTATGCATGTAATAATTATAATAATATAATAACAATAGATTGTTTATATAAATTCCAAAGCAACAAAAAAATCCAATGATTCAAATTAATTAGTTTAGATACAATGAAGATGCCATTTATGCTAAAAGGAAAGGTTAACAGAAAATAATGATAGGAAATTATTATTAATAAGAATTAAAAGTTATACTGTATGATATATATATATATATATATATATATATATATATATATATATATATATATATGACATCTCTTGAAAAACTGTCACAAGACTACAACCAAAAAGTTAATAGGCACAGTGGCAAACATCTGTAATCCCAGCTACTCCAGAGACAAAGGCAGGAAGATGGGGATGCAGTTCAGTGGTAGAGTGCCTCCTGAGTTCAATCCTCAGTACTAAAGGGGGAAAAAAAGCTAATAGTTATTACAAGGTGAAAGTTGCTTATTCATTTATATATTTATCTACTTTTTCACAATCCTTCTGCAGTATTTGTGCACTTTTATGTGTTTTTAGAAAAGCAGTAAGATAATTTCTTGGAATATAAATAAAAAATGTATGATAAAAAGATAGGAAGATGCACTGTTTTAAAATGATTCTGTAAAAGAAAAATCAGTGTCATGACAGAACAAGATCTGTTTAGGTAGAATTTTATTATGTACTAAACAAAGCAAAAAGTAAAACTGAAAGTAGTTAAGAAATAAAATCCTAGCTGGAAGCAGTGGGAGATGAGTATAATCCCAGCAGCTTGGGAGGTTGAGGCAGGAGGATCTTGTTAATTATATTCAAATAGTGTTAACAGAAAAAGAAGAACTTTAAGGCTTTTAAAATTTACTTTAAAAACAGATATAACAGCCACAATAGCCAAAAGACAGAAGCAACTCATGTTCATTGACAGATGAATAAACAAAATGTGATATATACATACATAGAATATACTTCACTCTTACAAAGGAAGGAAATTGGAGGGGAGTGAGTATGGGAGTAGGAATGATAAAATGAATCGAACAGTATTATCCTATGTACATATATGATTATATCACCTGTGTAAACTCTACATCATGTACAGCCAGATGAATGAGAAGTTATACTCCATTTATGTAGGATATGTCAAAATCTATTCTACTGTCATGTTAACAAATTAGAATTTTAAAAATATCATTAACTATTAAAAAAAAATAAAAGGAAGCAAATTGACTACGCACTGGAGCATACAGATAATTCCGATTTGAGCTAAAGCAGGAGAATCCCAAGTTTAAGACCAGGCTCAGCAACTTATCGAAACCATCTCTCAAAATGAAAAGGACTGAGAATGTAGCTCAGAGGAAAAGCACCCCTGGGTTCAATCCCCAGTACCAAAAATAAATAAAAAACTAAAATTCTAATAAGAATGGTAAAAATAAGCTGGGCTTGGTGGTATACACCTGTGATCCCTGTGACTAGGAAATGTGAGGCAGGAGGATTGAAAGTTTAAGGACTGAGTGGGCAATTTAGCAGACTCTGTTCCAACTTTAAAAAAAAAAATACTGGGAGTGTAGCTCAGTGATATATAGCACACCCAGGTTCAACTCTCAGTATCACAAAACAAACAAACAAATAAACAAAAAACCCATAAAGGCTAAAATGAGTCAGCTTCTCAGGAGCTGAAGCAAGAGGATCACAAGTTCTAGGCCAGTCAGGATAACTTAATAAGACCTTGTCTAAAAAAAAAAAAAAAGGGCTGAGGATGTAGCTCAGTGTTAGAATCCTTGATTAGCATGTGAGGCCCTAAATTCAGTCCCCAGTATTGGGGGGGAAAAGGTAAAATGGTAAATTTTGTGTCTACATAAATGCCATTTTAAAAAACTAATAAAATAAAATGCAGATTCTAAGTTAGAGAAGTAAATCACAGACTTTCAGGGTTATAAGGATCATTTATTTGCACACAATTCAACACTGATTCGTTTTCAAAGTTAATTCAAAAAAGACATTTTGGTTATGATTTGTTACCTCCCTAATTTCAAAATTATCCCTCTCTTCAAACATAATTCAAAAGAAAAGCAATTAGAGACTATGGTCCATTAGCTTTCTGTTCTAGGTTTGTACTTTCAGGATGAAAACAGCAGAATCCAAAATGTCATGTACTCTATAATTACAACTTAACATACAAATAAAATAACTGCTAAGTAATATGTAAGAAAAGAACATCTGTGTTAAGAAATGGGATCCTTAAGTTTTTTCAATGCTTTAGGGTTGATTTTTTTTTTAAGAGATACTGGGGATTGAACCCAGAACACTCTACCACTGGGCTATACCCTCAGTCCTTTCTTTTTAAAATTGTTTTATTTTGAGATGTTATCTCATTAAATTCCCAGGCTGGCCTTGATCTTCCTGCCTCAGATTCCTGAGTACCTGGGATTACAGGCATATAGGCTTTGATATTCTATCTTTAACGCATAAATATTAAGATAAATAAAATCACTTTTTTTTTAAAACAGTGCTGGAAAATGAAACCAGGGTCTTGTGCATGCTAGGCAAATGCCCTACTATAGAGCTGTATTCCTTGTCCTCGATAATTACTTTTTGATTCAAGAAAACAAAAATTAGCTAACTTGAACAATTAATATCTTAAATCACCTCACATCACCAGTTTGTCCAAAAAGGTACTCAATGCTTCTATTTTTTTCTGAGAAAATTATTAAAGCACTACTAAGCTTTTAAGAAGTTTACACATTCATTAAGAAGCCTAGCTGAGCTCAGTGGCACACACCTGTAATCCCAGCAATTTTTGAAGCTAAGGCAGGAGGACTGGAAGTTCCAGGCAAGCCTCAGCAACTTGGCAAGGCCCTAAGAAAATTAGCAAGACCCTGTCTCAAAATAAAAATATTAAAAGAGCTGGAGTTGTGGCTAAGTGGTAGAGTGCCCCTAGGTTCAAGCTCTACTACCAAAAAAAAAAAAAGAAGAAGAAGAAGAAGAAGAACACTTAAAGAGAGATTAAGATTTCAGATTGACAGGCTGTGGTTGTGGCTCAAAGGTAGAGTGCTTGCCTAGGATGCATGAGGTACTGGGTTCAATCCTCAGCACCACATAAAAATAAAATGAAGATATTGTGTCTACTCAATTTCTAGGTGAAAATAAGTTTTTAAAATGATATGTCTGGATCTCAAAATATAGTCTCAAGCTTCCCCCTTCCCTTGCCACTGGGGATTGAACTCAGCAGGCCTCACTACCTCGGAGCAACATCCCCAGTCCTTATTTATTTATTTATTTTTATCTTGAGATAGGTCTTAGCATATTGCCAAGGCTGGCCTCAAACTTATGATCCTTCTGCTGCAGTCTCCCCAGTTGCTGGAATTTACAGTCATGTGCCACTGTGCCTAGCATCAAGATATCTTTTTAAGCAAGAAACTGAACTAAAGAATCACTTGGCTCAAGGCCCCAACTGAGATGAAGCTTGACATATGGCTGAACTACATAGTTTGGGGCAGGAAGAAACAAGACAGAAGCACAATTTGTGCTCTAAAGCTGAGCACACATATGAAACACTGTGTGGGGGTGTTGATATATTACTCCACTCCCAGCTCCTGCATCTAGCCACCTGATGCGGTAGCGAGGTTTACACAAGAGACCAGCAAGAGAGAGAGAAGCACGCCAGAGAGTGAGCTTTTATTGGGGAACAAAAAATTCAGGGGAAAATTCCATCCAATGAATGTCAAGGGGGACAACATTCCAAGGTCAGGGTCAGTGATTGGTTTTCAGGTCAGTGGTCAGTCACACCCCCACATGGACAAGCCCTTGCACCTGGGGAAGGGTGGGGAAGGCTCTGACACAGCTTGTCTAAAGCGCCTCACACCCAGCCAGGGAGGTAGCTCAATCACATGCAAGAACGGCTTCCCACCCTAAGACAACATAATTGTGTGTGTGTGTTGCTGGGGATTAGAACCCAGCCAAGGCCTTGTGCATTCAAGGCAAGCACTCATCAACTGAGCTATAGCCCCAGCCCAGGTAACATATTTTTTAAAAATTCACTTCCCCTATGTTAATAAAGACTGTTCTACTTTCCAAACTAATATATATATATATATATATATATATATATATATATTTTTTTTTGTAGTGGGAGTTAAATCCAGAGGTATTCTATCACTGAGCAACATCTCCACCCTTTTATTTTTTATTTTGAGACAGTCTTGCTAAGTTGCTTAGAGCCTTGCTGAGTTGCTGAGGCTGGCCTGGAACCTGTGATCCTCCTGCCTTTGTCTCCCATGTGCACTGGATTTACAGGGATGCTCCACTGTGCTCAGTTCCAAACTGGTTTTTCTTTTGCTTTCCTTATTGCACTAGCCAGCATCTCCAGTAAATGTTGAATGATAGTGGTTAAAGTTGACATGGTTGTTTCATTCTTAATTGCAGAAAAAAACATTTCAATATCTACCATGAAGGATGTTAACTGTAGGATTTTCATAGATGCTGTTTATGAAGCTAATTACTGTGGTGAGATTATCCTAAATGGATAATGAATTTTTGTCTTGTTGCATACCTTTCTTCTTGATTTGTTGATATGTTGAATTACTTAGATTTGTTTTCTTATCTTAAACCAACTTCAAATCCCTGGGATAAATCTAAAAAGATCATGATATGCTACTCTTTTGCATATTGCTGGATATAGTGTCTCTTTTTTTAAAGGAATTTTGTGTCTTTGTCCATGAGAGATAATGGTCTGTAGTTTTCTTTAAAGTGTCCTATCGATTTAGATATCAGAGTAATGCTGGTTTCAAAAAATAAGTGGGGGGCTGGGCATGGTGACCCATGCCTGTAAATCCAGCAGCTTGGGAGGCTAAGGCAGGAGGACTGAAAGTTCAAAGCCAGTCTCAGCAATTTAGAGAGATCCTATCTCAAAAATGAAAATAAATTAATGGGCTGGTATGTGGCTCAGTGGGTAAGCACCCCTGGTTTCAATCCCTGGTACCAATAAATAAATAAATGATAGAAGAAATGGGGAAATATCCCTCATCTTTTGCTTCCTCATAGTTTGTGTGAGATTAGTATTGGGGGTTTTGAACAGAATAGTGATGCCAACAGAAATAGGTTTTATCAGGATCCCTGGATGCTGTGTTAATAGACTGGGATAGCAAGGATGAAAGGAGATAGGAGGCTACAGTAATCTGGGCAGGGGTTGAGAAAGGCTTGTCCAGATTGGTAGCACTGGAATTGTAAAAAGGGATCAGATTCTGAATATATTTTTAAGGAAAAAAAAAA